ATTATTTTTATTTATTAATAATTTATTTTTTAAAATATTTAAATTTAATTTATAAATAATTATGATAAATAAAAATTAAATTAGATAAAAAATTAATAAAATTTTTAAAAATTCTCTTATTAAAATAAAAATACCTAAAAATATTTTTATATAAAATAAATATTTAATATATGAGAATCGATATTTGTAACTACTCTACTATTGTAAAGTTGCACACTTTCATTTTTTAAAAAAAGACACTAGAATACGAAATTTCTCATTTTTTCAAAAATATATAAAGAAAACATTAAATATGAAGGTAAAATAAGTTTAATATTTTTTTATTACTATTTTCATTCTTATATATAAGAATTAAGTATCTAAAAATAATTAATTTAATTGATAACAAAAAATTTATATTATTTTTTTAATATTTTAATCTGAAGTTATGCTTGTATTAAATATTTTTTTAATTAATACTCACATCTTTCTTATCGATTAAAGTTTGTTATATATTATTTCTATCTCATATTAATACTTTTTATTCTTTTAATTAAGTTAAATATGTATCTTTTAAAAATTTATGATTAATATATTTCAATCAAATCAAAAGAATATATTTTAATTTAAGAATAATTAATATATCAAATATTATGAATTAAATTTTATATATAAAAAAATAATTTTTTTACGAGATGATATTAAATTAAAAATTCACTGATATCATCTCTCGTGTTTTCTCTTGTAACTAATTTGTTAACTTAATGTATAAGCATTAATAATGATAGTAACTGAACTTTATCAAAGTAAATAAAAATGAATCATTAATCAGGTAATGCGTTTATCTGTATGATTTGACTTTGATCCATTAATAATTGCTGCCACATTTGCTTCATTCTGTAAAGTTGTGCCAACATCATGCTTAAAATCAAGTTCTTAAAGTCATTTTCACATCACCTAGTTGCTCTACAATTTAGATCAATTTTCTTTTGGATAAACTTTGTTATCATTCAAAAATCCAAATTCATAAAAAATACTAGTAAAAGAAATAATAAAATAGTCTTTAATTTATAGCTTACTTTATCAAGCTCAATCTTAGTTATTTTATATACAAGAAAAAAAAAAACTACATAAATCTAGAACAGAGGACTTTGCCACTACTTGTAATATCCGAAATTTCCTTAATGAATGCCTCAATCAAAGGCCACCATAGTAATCACCACAGGTTATGGTTCCTCTATTACGAGGAACACCACTCACTACTGAAATTGGTCCATTCAATTTGGTTGAATGCTGTACCACTTGCTTAATCCTCTGCAATCACAATTAAGGATCAATTCAATAATTCAATATATAAATATCTAAGCAACTGTTTAAGAATAGTAAAACTACATACTTGATGCATAAGTAAACAGATATAGTCTTGCCCCCAACTGCACCTGTTTTTAATGACATCATTCCATCAAATGGGAGAATTGGCTCTTCCATCTCAATTTTATACTAAAATACATATACAACTATTTTTTTTAAAATTAAAAAGTGACAACAAATTAAAAGAAGAAGAAGAAAAAAAAGAAGATATTGCTGACCTTGTCATCGCTATAGATCTGGAACCGAATGTTCTGAATTTTGTTCCTTTGCTGACTTCCAAAATGCAGGACACAGATTGTTGTGGCAGCAGCAACCCCAAAAGAACATATAGCTCCAACACCATTCAAGCTCCACTTCCAAAAATTAAAGCCATCACTTGAGTTTTCCACTTCTTTGTCACACTCCATTATAGTCAATTCTTTTTCAATTTTCACTTTGGAAGAGGGCATGATCTCTTGTGTCTCACCTATATCAGATGAAGGGAACAATTCCCCATCAACAGACTTTGGGGAGTCAATTTCCTTGATCTTGGAGAGAAGCTGTGAAACAGTGTTATGATCGGCTTCAAAAATCACTCCTTTGATTTTCTCAGTGGAGGTTGGTGATGGGACAAGAGTGCCCTCAACATGATCCTGATCCTTGATATTTTCTTCCACTAACCCTTCATCTTGGACATTTCCAACTTTTGGATTTAATTGAATTGGAACATGGACAATCTCTTTGAGCACCTTTTGATGAAAATCTCTGGATGTTTTGGAGGTTTTCTTTGGAAAGTAATTCATGTCAAGAACACTTCTTAGATCTGGGTTTATTTTTCCAAAGATAATTGGCTTCTGATCGGAATCTTCATTCACATCAGCATATTCATCATCATAAATGACTATCCAATCATTAGGGTCCATCCTCAGATCAAGAGTACTTAGAAGGGAAATTGGTTTATATAGAGAAATAAAGGAAAACAAAATTGGATTTTGAAAATTGGGTGTTAGATTTGTTGGATCAAAGAAGTGGCTTTTGTGAGTGCACCATTTGGGTGCTAGTTACTCTTGAAATATAAAGACTGAGATCACATACCACTGACACATGATTTGAGTGTGTGTTTATCCATTTTGAAAATGACAATTTGTGGAAGGGTGCAATGGCCTCCACTAAGCAAATTAACCTCTACGCTAGGAATTAGGAGGATTCTTCTCCTTGTTTCTTTCTTTTCGGTTTTTCTATTGGAAATTGGACTATTAAATATTAATTATGACTGTTAGGCTGTTAACTTTGCATAAAAGTCAGTTTTAAACAGTAAATGCTAAATAATGAGTAATAGGCAAGACTTGTCATCAAAAACAAGAGAGTATGGTTAAGACAACAAAAGATTCTTCTTCTTAATTTTTTTTCCTTTCTTTTCTGTATATATGATTATTATTTTGTAACGAGAGGTGATTTGATTCACTCCTAAAGAAAAGAAGAGATTCTTTAATTACTTTCAATTTTTTTAGCTTTAGATGGATATAGAAGATTGATTGTTCATGGCTTCCTAGAGTGATATGGCATTGAAGGGTTGATATATCTAGAATTGAAAAAAGAATAGAAGAAACCTCTCCCAAGTACAGCTGTTGGTGTCTATTAGTATCTCATTTATGAGACAACTCTATAAGTCATTTAGTCCAAAGTTAATTTCTTTCTATCATGTTGATAAGTAAAAGCTAATTTTAATCATAATATTATGTTTAAAATTACAAATTTAATATTAATTTTTAATTAAAAAATATAAATATCTAATTATTTATATTAACAATTTTAGTTATATTTTTTTATTTTCACACTTAATATAAATTTGATTTATCGGTGTTAATAACTTTTAGTCATATTCTTTTTTTTAATCTCAATATGATTAAATACATTTACTGTATAAAACTTCATTGTCATTTGTTAAAATAAATTTTGTATATAATAAAGTTATTGATTTTTGTGATAGCTAATATAAGATGTTATAAAAAAATGTTTTTCAGTTGATTAATTAATTTTTTAATAAAGCATGAAATTAAATTTATTTATATATTTTATTTTATTTTATTAATTGTGTTTACGCTATATTTTTAAAGTATGTATACCTATCTTATTTTAAGTAAAATCTTTGCAATTTTTTCTATTAAAACAACAAAATAAAAGAGATACATGAGTTACAAAATATATTAAATACTTAAATTAACTGACACAAATTATTTTTTTTTATATTCAGAATTAATTAATAATCTAGTCATTATATACAATATATTGGATACAATATCAGTATGATTTTCTTTTATCTAGATCATCTTATTTGAAAATAAAGTTTAACAATATGATATTTCAGCGATACACGGTTGATACTGTTGTAATCCATGTATTGTGACTCATAATCATGCTAATTAATTAGAATAGAATAATTTAATTTAAAAAATTCATGTAATTAAATTCTAAAAATTATAAATTAAATAACAATAAATATTTTAACAAAAATTAGTAACAAAAAGATTTCATTTTCAAAAGCATCTTTTAAGAAACAATTTATATATGAAAATTGTTTTATTAAAGTTACTAATGTAATTTATAAATTTAGGAAAATCAGTAACAAAAAGATTTTAGTCTCAAAATCATCTTTAAAAACAACTTTATATATAGAAATTGTTTTGTTAAAGTTACGGTAAATGTAATTTATAAATTAAAGTGTTTATTTCAGTAATTAATTGAGCAGGTATTGTTATAACTAATAATAATTCATGATTAATAATTTTCTCATTTATGTTATAAAAAAATTTAGATACTGAAATAAATAAATAAAAATAACAATTAAATTTTGTTCTTTTTTAGTTGACAATATCATTTACACTTCCTTTATTTATATTAGCGAGATTGAGACACTTCGTGTCTTTATATGTATTTTTTGTGATATTTAAAATAATTCATCCATAAAACTAATTTTACTTTATTTCTTATATTTTGAAAATTATTTATTGATGAAGTACATATTAAATATTGTAAAATTTTAAATATTTGATTTTTTTTACTTTATGTCTTTATTTTTTTCTTTTTAATAAATATAATTTAATTTTCTATATTTATTTTATATATAACAATAGTTAAAATATATAAAAAGAAATTTACGTTGTACATAATTATATTTATAAGCATGAATTAAAGTATATATATATATATATATATATATATATATACTTTATGTACAATATGATGTTTTGTAATTATAAAATTTTCTTGATAAGAAGACCAAATAATGATTCTACCTTAGGATATTTTTAGCTTCCCTATAATTTATGAAAGAAAAAAAGTTTACATTGTGGTTACATAAAAAAAACTATTAATTGAACAGAAAAGAACAAAGTGTTCATGTATAAAGAGATGTCATCATAAAGAAAATGACAAATTTAAAATATAGTTAAAGTTAAACATGACTAATGAAAACCAATGTTAGTGTTTTATACTAACCATAAACATTGTGGTTAATATGTATATTACTTGGTCCTTCCTCATTATCATTTGTTCGTTGAAACCTTGGTGGTAAACTATAATCTACATGATTATATTTAAAAAAAATGAAGTGTTCATATATAAAGATAATCACAAAGAAAACCCAAAATTATAAACCTAAAAAAAAATTCTACATGACTAAACATGACTAATGTGACCAATACTTCTAGTAGTTGCATTTGGTTCATTGTCACATATTTGTTGAAACCTAGCGGTCCAAGCTAATTGTCGTACACATGTGAGTCTATGCTTTTACAATCTTGAAAAGACATGTTTGGAAAATTATTTGGATGACTTGTTGGACATGATGTGTCTATTTGATTTTCTTTTTGTTTTCTTTATTTATAATTTGTTCATTGTCTAGATAATTCTTGTTGTATTTGGTCCATGTTCCTTCAAATCCTTCTATTTCTATAGTTTTGTACCTTTCTCGTTGCTGTTTTTGTGTTTGACTATTTGAATTTTGCATGTTGTTATATAATTATCTGTCAAAAAACATTTGTTCAACAATTCTTAAATCTATAATAATATATGAAAGAAATAGTTATTCTCGTAACCATTATTCATTTTCAGAAATTATGAATAATTATATACTTAATTATTAAGAAAATAAATAAATAAATTTAATAATCACTATTAATCATTTTTAAATAAATGTTTGAACTATTAAATTATGAAAAAATAAACAAATATGACTATAAATAGTTGGAAATTAAAAAGACACAACAACTTGTGTAACTACCAACTCATGGCACACTCATTTTAAGATTTTAAGAAAATATTCAAATTACCTTTTTTCTTTTAAATCTATTTTAATTACATTAAAAGAATGCATTAAAATTTGTGTAACTACCAACTCATGACACCTTCATTTTTAGAGTTTTTTACTCAAATAATACTATTTTAAAAAAATTTTACCCAACTAGCACCGTTTACTGTTCACGTTTTAGAACCAGCCGTTCTGATTTCAGAACGGGCCGTTCTGGATTAAAAAATAACACATGACAAATGGATCAGAACGGGCTGTTCTGGATTCAAAAATTGCACATAAAAAATGGAACCAGGTCGTTCTGAAATCGAAACGGGTAGTTCTGGCCTAAAAATAAAAAAAAAATTGTTCGATTTTCACTTATCAAATACCAAGAGTGAGAAACTAACATCAAATAATTAAATTTATTAAATATTAACATTATAAATATAACTAAATAAATTTATTAAAATTCAATACAATAATAAAGATCAATGGTGGCAGAAACTGATTATGTTGTTCTGTAATGTCTATCTCTGTTTTAATCCTACTGGATTTTGGCCGACGGTTGAAAGTTTTCTTGAGTTCTGGATTTGGCCACAAAGTTAGACCAGTGGAAGTAGGCCAATAATCTTCATGTCAGAGCTCTCCAAACTGTCATTCGTATACCTTTGCAACTTATTGTAAGGTATATATGAGAGATATGTAGGTTTGATAGTCGTGATATGCATGTAAGCATAAAGCGAGTACATACGAGCAAGGGATATGAAACTTGTCGCAATCACACCACATTACATTTAGCCTTACTGTAAATCTCCTAGTGGGTCATGCGAGCAAGGGATATGAACTTTCTGGAACTTGCTGCAATCATACCACATTTCATTTAACCTTATTGTAAATTTTCCAGTGGGTCAAACTTCTCTCGGATGTTGCGTTTCTTCTAACTTTATGGCCAAATTCAGAACTTAAGAGAACTTTCAAGGATCTGCCAAAGTTCAGCAGGTTCAGCAGGATTAGAATAGAGATGGACATTAGAGAATAACATAATCGTGTAAAAAATTGTTCCTATTGTCACACCCCTGGTCACACTCGAAAGACATATCCAAATATTGGTCATGAATTCAGTTTCCGCCATCATTGATTTTTATTGTTGTAATGAATTTTAATAAATTTATTTAGTTATATTTATAATGTTAATATTTAATAAATTTAATCACTTGATGGTAGTCCCTGAGTTTTGGTATTTGATAAGCGAAAATCGAAAAAAAAATAACTGAATCTGAATCTTTAGGCCAGAACGGCCCGTTCTGGATTCAGAATGGCCCGTTCTGGTTCTACTTTTTATGTGCTAATTTTGAATCCGGAACGGGCCGTTCTGATCCATTCGCCATGTGCTATTTTTTAATCTGGAACGGCCCGTTCTGAAATCAGAACGACCCATTCTGAACGTGAACAGTAAAATCGTGCTAATTGGAGAAATAAATTTGCATAGTTGTTATTTGGGTAAATTTTTTTTAAAATGGTATTATTTGAATAAAAAAATCTCATTTTTATATTCAAGAGAATATTTAAATAAATATATTTCATTAAATTAAAAAAACATGCACTATTGACAACAACTTATCTAACCATTAACTCATGGCACATTTAATTTTGTATTTTGAGACAATATTTGATTTGAATTTAAAATTATTTTAATTAAATTAAAATAATACACTATAATTTGTATAACTCTGAACAACTATTAACTTACGACACAGTCCTTTTTATATTTTAAAAAAATATTTAAATTGAATTTTCTTCCATTAAATTTATTTTAACTAAATCTATAGGTATTATAAAGAAGATAAGTATGCAATTGTTTTGATATTCATTTTTTAGTGGACCATTATACATCTCAAATGCAAAAAAAAAATTCTTATACCTTTTTAAATAATTACATGTAATCTTTGAATATTCTGTTTGTGTATAATTAGGGGTGGGCAATGGACGGGTTCGGTAGGGTTCGGGTGAAAAACGTTCAACTCATTGTAAACCGACTTTGGAAAAATGTGACCCATATCCGATCGACTGAGCTTTCGGTTTGAGGCGGTTCGGGTTGCAACGGATTCGAATTTGGGAAGGTGGGTACAATCGGGTTTGAGATTTTTTGTGGACCAAGTTATTTTAACGAAGGTGAAGCTTAAAACGGTAAAAAAATATTTTTAAAACAGTGTACAAAAATAGAATGAAGGTAACAATAGATGATGTAAGTAGATTCGTAAATAAAATATTTACAAACTAAAGAAGCAAAAACAAAAGATAACAAAATCTATAGTTGTTACATGCAAACGAAATCTAAAGTTAATTTACAAAATCTATAAGAAACCACTGTCGCACAAGTTGTACTCAAAATGAAGATAGGAAGATGGAAAAGAAAGATAAAGAAAGAAACAAAGAGAAAAATCTAAAAGTAGACTAGTGTATTGAGAAATTGAATGAGGAAGGAGAAGACAAAAGAAATATCTAGGTTATGAGAAAAAGAAAAAAAAAGTTACAAATTGATGACTATATTATACTTGAAATAAAGACTTTTGAGTTTGGACCATTGTTGTTTAGTTATACAAAAGTAATAAAAATATAAACTTATCTCATTTTTGGTTGGGCTCGGTTTTTAACGGGTTTAAAAATTTAAAACCGAACTCGCCCAATATAACCCTATAAAATCAAAATTTTAACTCGATTTACCCGTAAAACCCGCCTGAATCCACCAAAAAGTAATATTTTTTATCGGGTTTTTTGGGTTCGGTTCAAGTCTCGATTTTATGCTCACCCCTATTTTGCATATAATAACTATGAATTTTGTTATCTTTTATTTTTACTTCTTTAGTTTGTAAATGTTTCATTTGCAAATTTATTACCTTCATTCTATTTTTGTATACTATTTTAAAAATATTTTTTTATCATTTTAAACTTCACCTTCATTCAAATAACTTGCTCCACAAAAAATCTTAAATCCCATTATACCTACCCGCCCAAACTTGAATCCGTTACAACCCAAACTACCTCAAATTAAAAGTTCAGTCAGTGTCATATATAGGTTACATTTTTCTAAAATCAATTTACATGAGTTGAAGATTTTTCAGCTGAACCTGACCGAACTCGCCCGTTACCCACCAGTGACCTAGTAAGATGATTGTTATCAAGGTTAATTCATAACAATAGGGTTTCAAATTTGTTCTTCTTTCTCCCTCGTCCGCGGCTCCTTCACCAGATACCAAACCTTTGCCACTACCAACGCTTCACACTCAGGTAAAATTATTGTTCACTTTCTTCCTGGTGTTCGTTCCCTTGTTCCAACTTTGCTTTCAGATTCGCAAAGCTACTCATGGTGATATCAAGCATCGAAGGATGGTATCGTTGTATAGAAAACCTATTTGGCCATTGCAGCAAATCAACAAAACCCTCGTTTAATCTTAAACAATAGCAATTCTTCAAGGTGTTTTTGCCAAACTCATTCAATTGTTTTCATATGGCTGCTGCCAACGCACAAAATTTCGGTGAAACAAGAAGCAAATATTTGGTAGACGAAAACTGCACACAAATGCACCACGGCCTAATCCCTCAATTTTACTTTTTTTTTTCTTCTCTCATGAACAATAGACACCATAGATAACTTTCCAGCGATATGTGAAGGTTTTCTAGAGATTTCTGAACCATCTTTTTGCTTAATTCCAGGTCCTTTTTTGCATTAACTTTGAATTAGCCTCCAACTTGCAAGATTACTATACATTGCACAAGAGAGTTCATTCTTATTGTAAAATATTCACTGAATGAACATGTGGTTCTTAAAACATTAGTACGCTAAAACCAGTGGAAATCTATTATATCCCCAACCTCAGATGTCATAACTTTCCTTAAAACTTTGGTTATCTGTTTGAATTGTATCTCTGCTGCAACAAAGATTCTATTCAGAAGGGATGATAATATGTGTCACAGTGCATGTATGAAGACATGCAAGCTTTTAAGACATACTTTTGAACCTTTTTTTTTTTTTTTCATATTTGTGTTTGTAGTTTTATAATTTAATGTAGTTTTTTATTCCTAATTTTTCCCCTTCAATCTTTTTTCCCTTTCATTTTTCAATGCAGTGATGGGAAATATGTACAAGAATAGGAAACAAGCTGGTGGGCATGGACCTCCAAGAGAAAATACTGATACGCAGAAACATGAAATGGACTTAAGGAAGATTATGAAAGATGTTGAAAATTTTAGTAAGGAAGATTGTGTTGTCTTTATCTTTTTTAGTTTTTGAATCATCTTTCTGTAGATGTGGTTTTGATATTCAATTCAATAGAAGACAAGTGGATGATTATGTTCTTGCTTCTTAGTATAATATTTCATATAATTAGGTTGGATTTCTTTGGTTTGTCTGATGCATCTTGATTCTTGAATAGCTGTACAATGCATACTTGGTAGCTGAACTCGTTGATTTTTATTCATGTAGCTAGATAGATGTGATAGGAATGCTGACACTGAATTTCATAGTTTCAAAGTTTAGTGTCATATGAACAGATGCCAATGCATTGTTAAAGGAAGTTATGAATTATTATTGTATGTTTCAACTGATATGTTTATGGATTTGGAAGTTCTTGGAAGAGTTTGAAACTTTTAAAGTTCTTAATTCTGTTGGTCAAGGAATAAACTTTCATGGGTATATTATTCTCTTCCTTGTAGTTCTCCTTTTCATATAAAGTATACTTTTTTTTGTGCAAAACATAACTTATTCTTATTTGAAACTGTCTCAACCTAAACTTCTAATTTAGGATATGTGGTAATGGCTGCAACTTCTCACTGTTCTTTCATGTTCTCTTGTAAAATTTAGGGTTGCATGTAACTTTTATGTTAATTCTGCCGTTATCTATGATTATAGTTTCTTTAACCAGGATGATTTAGTGGATTGAATTGAACTGTATAGTTGATTGCCATTGGTGTTCTTGAGGGTTTTGTTGTTGGAAATATAAGAACACTACTTAGAAGTTGTTGAGTAATATGTGGGTTATAATTGGTTTTCTTTGTGTATTGAATGCATGAATGATTAGAAAAAGTTTGTTCCTTTATTTCAATATTGTGGTATTAGAGCTGAAAAATTAATGGTAACCATACATACCTAGTTCTCCTGCTTTTGTTTGCCTTTCCACTACATTCAGCAAAAATGGTAGTGCAGTTGCTTCCTATAATGGCTGCTAACTATCGTATTTTCCAGGCTACTCACATATGACATGGAAAGAACGCAAAAAGATTGAAAATAGGAATGTTGTTTCTCTTGGTGGGAAGGTGAGGACCATTGTTGATTTTCTATTTTGTTTGCCATATGCCAAAGCAAATACTATTACAAGCATGCTCATAAACAAATTTCCTATTGATTATCATTTCCCCATATGTAGCCCCCTAAGAATCAGAGATTACCTTTAAGTGTGGCACGACCAATGATGAAGAAACAACAGGAGAGGGAGCAGAAAATGCTCCAAGAGGTAATTCATTTCTATCATTCCCCGCTTTTATCCCCTCGTTATTTTTCTGTCCGTCTCTTATTGACATTATTCATACATAATATGTACAATGTTGTGGCTTTTAGCGTTTGATTCTTGGACATTTTGGGGGAAAGCTTGGTGGTAGCAGTAAAAGATCAGCTGGGAAGCACAAGCCAGAGAACAGGGGTCTGAAGTCAAGTGAAGGTCATTTTAGAAATGGCATACTCAATGTGAAGCATTTGTTAAATTCAGCACCATCAAGAGATCATGAAAGTGAAACCAGAATGTCCAATACAAGGAAAGGGAATGGTGGTAAAAAGAAACATGGTAAAAAGGGTGCCGGTAAGAAGCACCGTTGAGCACATCCTTGTGAATGAAATGTTTCGGGAAGAACATTGAGGAGTCATTTTTTAATATGTATGACCTTTATAAATCTATTATGACCCTTAGCCTTTGACAGAGTAAAATGAAATAGAATAGAAATAGACAATCATGTGACGTGTACTAGGAAATATTGATAATTATACATCTGAACAAGATCTTATCCTTGAGGCATAAGTCCCCAGACCAGATATTATCCTTGAGGTCCTATAAAAAAATGACTTATTTATGACGAAATGCCTTTTTCCTACGAAATTTTACAATACTTATTTTGAGGCTAAAAATAAACAATCCTAGAAGGAATAGTTATTTGCATAACCGTTTTTCGTGCACATAATTATTGACAATTATACTCCTAAATTTTATAAAAAAAATGTTTTAGTATATGTCATTAACCAATTTTAAATAACTACTCACACTAATTTTTTCATAACATTAGTATTATTTTTAGTTAAAAATTCATTTGATTGTATATTAATAAAATATTTTGATAATTTAATACTATATTATTATTTTCTCCACATTTATTTATTTTATTAATAATTAATTAATTATTGATATAAAACATTAATCACTATTTATAAATTTACTTACAAAGAAAATAAATCTAAAAATAAATTTAAATAAAATTAAGTTTGTAAGATTCAACAAATCAACATCAGTTGTTTCTTACCGCATTGGATTTATTATGATCGTTAATATTCATTGCATAGAGTATAATATACTGATATAAACAGTGTTCGTGTAAGCTACGTTTTTCTTGATCTTCTAAAACTATGTCTTAGAATTTAGAATTGATATTATTTGGTTCAATTGTTTGTAGGCATCGACAGTTGCAAGCAATCCATAAACGTGATAGACATGTTAAAATAGTGAAAATTTATAAATAAATCACATACAAAAAATATAGCTGCATATATGATTCTTGTTCTCGTGGAAAAAGACTTTTGAGTTTCATTTGTTATAAGATGATTGATTTCTTAAAAATATTTTTAAATTCAAATCAAATATTGTCTAAAAATACAAAATTAAATGTGCCGTGAGTTAATGGTTAGATAAGTTGTTGTCAATAGTGCATGTTTTTTTAATTTAAGGAAATATATTTATTTAATGTGAGAATAGTGGGTGGGTGATGGTGGGTTGTATAAAAGAAAAATTATATTTAATCATAATTTGTATGAAAAAAATGGAGAATTATATTGAATAAATTATTTTTGAAACACGAATTATTAACCGGCAAAAACGAATTGGAAGGCGCAATATATAAAAGCCTCAAATCAAGTTAATTCTCTTTGAAGAGCCTCCAATGGATGGAAGCGAACAAGAAATGGGCATAATGGCAAAGGGCGTCCAAAAAGACCTCACTCCTGGGAAACTTCCTCCCCACGGGGACACTCCTGACCTTCGAGATGGTCCACGCCGTCATGTCCGTCATGGTGTTCCTCGCCATCGCTGTCTCCGACCATAGGGTCACCAATTGCATCTTCCCCGTTGCTTATATGAGTAACTAGCTGATGAGTCTCCCAGAGAAACAGAAGACAAAGATGATACCCAAACCCTGATACTCCTCGCCCTGTGATGAAAGTTCCTGGTCTTGCATTGTCCTAACTTGGTCCAAATCCTCTGCACATCATTTACACTAAGAATACGTTCCATCACTTGGCCAAAGTTTAAGTTCAAGTGAGGAACATAGCAAGTCCAGAATGCTTGGAGACCTGACTTAATCGCGGGAAATACAAAGAGAACAATCCTCAAGCAGAGAAAGAATATAGATAATGTCAAGTAAGGTTCTCTGATTAATATTTCTTGGAGGGAGAGGCCCTTCATAGTTGAATGTTCATCACTCATCAAGTTGCTTAGTTGACCAACAACAACATAGTCCCTTGCTTCTAATCCTGAGACGAGAGATGGTAAGGTCATTATCATTATCATTATCACTCCTTGAAGTTTGAAAGACTCTATGCACTATGCAAATGGCTCTTGTTTTTAACAAATTATAAACACCAAGCTATAAATCAAAATAAGGTGAAAATGATGGTCCAGAAAATTCCACTATAAATTATAAACAAGGTTAAGAATATGCTTACCAGTGTTTCTCTCATAAAATTGTACAAGGGCATTAAGATTGTTTTGACCGTGATATCTCACCCTAGATGTCTGGTTCACCAGTATGATTGCAGGTATGCTATGGATTCCATATTTTGTATATAAGCTACAGGGAAAAACACATGAACATTAAGACATTTATGAAATTTTCCAAATTGATTATGACGTATCCTAATTCTACATACAAATTAAAGTGTAGCATAACCTATAACAAAGAATCTACTTTAACATTATTTCATGGCATAGCCTTACCTAACTACTGCAACATGTATAAGTATATATGTGGCATGCTGAAAGGCAATAAAATTGACAATTATATAGAAACTACAAAGCAGAAGCAGATATAGTTTCAAAACCTTGGCAAACCAGATGATTGCTCAAGTGCGGCATGTTCTACTTGAGGAAACATGGAACTAAGAATCTCAAATTCAGGAAGTATTCTGCATGAGAAAGGACACCAGGAAGCATAGAAGAGTATAGAAACGTATTCAACCCTCTCTTTTCCAGATAAAACCCCTTCTATGAAATTCCCATCCACCCGAACAAATCAAAACAATAAGTCATTAACTAAAACACATGTCACCAGAACATGCATATCGATACAAATAAACTAAATGAATAACCAGATAAATCAGCAAAAACATAAAATCAATTATTAATCTTTGAAATAATGTAACTATTGTTTTCAATTACGAGGTTCAAAGAAGAATTAGTTTCGGGAATTTTTTTTGTTTTTTTTTGGAGTAACTATGGTATTAGTAAGAAATATTTATCGCTGACTAATCTCTGTCGGGAATCATGAGCGCACACAAGATGAGTATTCCCCTCCCAACATAGTCTATTCTCTCTACAAATCACTACCTTTAACTGTGTTCATTACCATACGAGAGATATCATGTCCATTCTAGTTCATTTAATATTTAAGCCTCAGTGAAAATTAAAGGACTCTTACTTAAGCCTCAGTGAAAATTCCAAACAGATAAAATTTAGAATGAAATTTAAATTAAACAAATTAAAATAAAATCAATATTCACGCTGCATGCAAATTGATGATTGTGATTGTTAAACCAGGAGTTAAAAGTTGTTTCAAAAAGTATCTCAGGACATGATATGAAGTAACAAATCATAATATGATAAACCTAGCTCATAATTGACATGCAGTGACATATTTTGTATGTATAGTTATTATAGGTATAGTATAGGTTTAAGTATTATAATTATATGATAAACATAATACAGCAATTTTTGGAAATTTTAGGATACGAACATACGGGTATTGTAGATTATGTTAATAATATTCAGGATAAAGTTAGATGCATGATATCAAATTACTAATACAACTACAAGTCTGATGTTCAGTTTAGTTTGTGAAAAGATCCCATTTTCTTGAATCCAATAAGAAAGCACATTCATTTAAAATTGACTAATTGGCTTTTATAATTGAAAAGTGATTACCATAATATAAATTCCCAATATTAATTTAAGGTTACAATGCCTTCTCATCATTCTTATTTAAGGTTATAAGGTCTTCTCATGATTCTCATTATTTTAGTTTTCAAGACCAACAAAAATATCGGCCGAGCAGGCTATAAAAGCAAATTATCCGGTTTCATACAATGAAAATGTCACATCAAGGATAAAGGCTGAATAAAAATATTAACCATTAAAGGAGCTATAATCCAGTTAAAAGGGAAATGAAAGTAAACATTTGAAGTCCAGTGATCAAGGTTCTTAGCTGAAACATATTTATCCATTACAACAAACAAAATCACCTAGGAAAAATATGAAAACTTCTAATACCAAGTTTGTTAACATGAGTTTCACCTGGTAAACTTAACTAATAGTGAGAAATGAACAAGCTATAGTTATATAAATGTACTCTGAATTACATCTTAGCATAAATACAAGCTTATCAGTTATCACTTATCACATTTCCAAGCATATTGAGACATTGACTTTATCGACGATATCAGTTTCTTATTTTTCACCCTCAAATTATAATCAGGAAAAAAAAAGTATCATTTATTTTCATAACTGTAAACGGCATACTGTTTTTGTTGATAGATTATGAAACAAAAGGCTCAACAATAGGAGAAACTAAGGGCTTGTTTACTCCTACTTCCATTTCCTGTTAACATTTCTATTTTAACTTTTAATTTATAAAACTATCTTGTTTTCAATCTGTTTCTTGTTTTCAAATATTAGCACAGGAAACACTGAAAACAACTTGTAAGGTTTATAAATTAAAAGTTAAAACCAAAAATAAAAACAGAAGTAAACAAGCCCTAAATTTGAGACATTATTTGGGAGTGTCTGCAGTTGCAGAGTAAATAGCTCGTTTGATATCATCAAAATGTCATGTGTTTTCACGAGGAAAGTAATTATTGTCAATCAAAAGATTTCACAGGGATTTAATTTTTCCCACAAGAGATTTTGATAATAAGTGTCTCATTTTGCATTCAGAAGATCTTCAAGGAGATAACAACATTATAGTATTTGCCAACTTAAATAAAGCATTACATGTCACATCATCTGTAAAATCCTGTAATGTTAAAACTTAAAACTGAGCCTCATCAATTCTATAATTTGTTCAATACTTTAAAATAAGTAAACTCTTTAGAAACGATCACTCCCTAGATTCTTGCGGAGGGAATCACATGGATGCATTTTTGTACAAGTAAAATCAATCAGTTAGACCTCAGTTTTCAGTCTGCTAAAAACTATAGACGTTGTTTGTTTAGAGCCTGAGATTGGACCACAGAACAAGTCCTTGGAAGGAATCAATTGAGATCCCCAATCTTAAACTCACAACACTTCTTTGACTAGCTAGCCCTGATATCTATATATATCAATATGGTCAAAACAAAAATAGACGATATTTAATTTTGTCCAAACATTTTGATGTTTTTCCTTCTATACAGTGCTAACGGAAGTTTTCTAGGACCATGACATCGCAAAGAATTCCATCATTTGATGTGAACTGGAAAAAGCAGTTCTAAGTTCTAACAAACATATGTCAACCAAATATAAAAGGAAACTATCCCTCAATATTATACCCTCAAATTTATCCATGATCACAAATTTTCGAAACACCATAAATCACAATTCACAAGCAAAGCATTGGCAATTTGGCATACAACAACATGCCATAAAATCAAATACATCATATCAACGAATGAAAACAAATTCCCAGAATCAAAATCACACAAAAGAAGAGAAGAACACGTAAAGAATGAAAATTTTGAAGGGACAGAGATAGAGTCGGGAACCTGAAGAGGAGGGTGAGGGGAGATGGCGAGGGAGCACTGAGATTGAAGATCATAGAGAAAGGTAGCAGAAGGAGAGGATGGTAGAAAAGACAAAAAGGTGATGAAGAGAAGAAGAAGAAGAAGAAGAAGCGAAGTGGCCATTGAAGGTTGAAGAAGCTAAGAAGGGTATGTTACTTTTTATTGTGTGGAGTGAACACAACACTATCACAGCAAGCACAAAGCAACGAGCGGGTTTAAAGGAATACGTGTTATGTTGGGTTTGTTTGTGCACCCGATTTTGTTGTTGCTGCTGTGTATTGTTGGGTCTCTATCATTAGGTTGAATAGTATCTGGTCATGTTGATGGTTAAGGTTAAGGTAGATGGTAATGGTGTAGTTAAGAAAATAGATAATTTGGGTTGGGTTTGCTTTGGTTTGGTGCGCTGATTCCAACAGAAGGGTCCAAGGAAGTTTGAACCTACTGTCCCAGTTACTAACTACAATATCACATAAAAGGATCTACTTTTCTTTCCTAGTTTTCAAAACCAACAAACGAAATCTTAAGAATGTTTTGCCACCTTATTAAGGTAAAACTTCACCCTTATTATTCTTACTAGTGGGTAAAAGACAATATAAACGGTTATTAAGATATTTTAAAAAATTATATCAAAAGACTTATTATTATGTAAATTTTTAAAGGTTAAAATTGTCAATAATAATATGTATTCTAAAATAGAGAATTTTCTTTATATGTAAGTATAGCTGTTGGAAATGAGTACTTGAGTTGGGTTTGAGTTTACACACATACACAGTGATTATTATATTCAATTTTTTTTAATAAGTTAAAACTCATGAGTTAACTTGGTCTATTATAGACTTAAAGCAAGTTAAACTAGAAAATCTTGATTCATCTTAATTATAAAAAAAGTTTGACTCAACTTTCTACGAGATAATTTATGGTGGGTCAGGTTGATTCATTGATTGACCCACCTAGTACATCTTTTATTTTATTTTGCTTATTTTTCTTCTCAATATTAATTTATATAATTTTACATTTATATTATTGACTAAATTTTATACATATTAATTATAAATTACGATAATTAGTGTCAATTTGATATTATTTATTAAGATGTTATGTAAGTACTTTGATATTATTTAATGTTATAAAATGATTAAGTTGGTTGCAGTTAATGTTTTTTTTTTACAATTTCTTTTTGTTCTATTGTTAATATAGTTGTAATTCTATGATATAAGATTGTAATAGGTCTTTCTAATAAAGTTATTAAGTTTTTTTTAAAAAAAAATTAATTGAGTTAATTCATTTAATCCACCAACTTATGATAGACCAGGTCAAGTTGCTTCTATTATTTATTTCGTCGTGAATTAGATTAAGTTTGACTAGATTGATTGGATAGTCCAACTCTAACACTCCTATTTGACATTTGCTTGGGATAATAATTTTAATATTTATAAGATTTCTTTTGATATGCCTAAGTATTTATATTTATATTTTTTTATATAATATAAATAATTAAATTAATTATGATAAATTAAGAATTGTAAAGTATTATTGGTACAAAACATAAATATCATAAATTTATATATTTTTTTTAATTTAAAGATACATATAGAAAAGGCTCCAAAGTTTCATAAATTTCATTTTTTTTAACTTCATTTTATATACATGTATCGTTTAATGGTTATGGGCAACTGAATTTTGAGTAGGCATAATTAAACCGGATCACGGGTGAGGTCAAGTGAGCTTCGAGTTTCGGGTTAAGTCTAAATATGTTTTCATTTTCTCAAATTTAAATTAAACTTATTTTTAGTCTTTTAAATTTAAAAGTAATTTTTTAAATTTATATAATTTAAAAAAAAATTATTTTAATTTTTATACTTAAATTTTATTAGACAATATCATTGCATAAAATCTACCAGTTAGAGTTCGTGAAAACATCATATTAAATTCAATTAATATTACATAACTGTCCCAATCTTTTATTTTCATATATGTAATTAGTAACCTGAAAGCCTAAAATAAGATTTTTTACAATTATAAAGACTAAAAATAATGATTTTAAGTTTGAGAAACTAAAAATAAATTTATTATAAATTTAAGAGATTAAAAATATATTTAAATCTTTTAGTTATTATGTTAATATGGCCCAACTATTTTGGTAAAAGATTTTTTTTCATATTATTTTTAGTTTATGCTAAATTGATCAAAATCCAAAAAGTTATTACTTTGGGCCATGTTAAACTGTTATTGTAATGGTCCAAAGGCCCAAATGTTTTTTTTTCTCCCTTCTATCCGGTACTAGATTTTAACACTAATAGACAAATTAAAAAAAATAGTAAATCTGTAAATTACATTTACATTTTTCTTATTATAACTAATATTATCCCAAAAGCCAATTTATTTAGACCAATTACTAGATTTCAATACTAATAAATCAATTAAAAATTAACAAATCATATTTACCTGTCAAATAAAATATAAATCACACTGAATTTGCATCTATAACGTAAAAGAAGTTTTGATGGTCTTCGTAGTTCATAAATGATTAGGTGTTATAATGATGATAATTACATTTTACATTCCTATTTTCTTCAAGCAAGTAAACTAGGCATGCTCCTGCAAACCGAAGGAACTACCAAGTTTTATTCTAGTCATATGTATATTTGTACAATAAAAAGAAAGAGGAAAATGAAAAAAAGGAAATTCTTCACAGCAATTTTTAATAAGTATAATGGACATTCATTAACACAAGGTTAATAACCCTTTTCCCGATCATTCTAAATATTTCCATAGTCAACTATTGTTATATACTAATATATGTTTTCTTTTCAATCTTACTCCACAATTTTTCATCCATTCTAAAAAAGAAACCAGGAACACCAAAAAGTCAAATGTAAGAAAACCATTCCTGGAGAATTGAATAGAGTTGAAAATGTACTATCCATTAACAATTGCCCTAAGAAAAGAAAAGAGAAAAAAAGAAGAAGATCAAGTTAGGAAGCAGCAACAGAGAATGGCTCACAACAAAAGGCTAAAACAAAGTTTAAAGCACATATATTTTAAGAAAAAACACTAGATTCAGCACTAACCAAAATGATATGAACATCAATTGACCACGGTATTAGTGTATCACACCTTTCAACTTCGTTCCTTAATTCAGGAAAAAAAATTATAATTAATAAGAAAAGCTTTGCATAAAAATAAATTACTCAACAAGGACCATAGAGGATACCAACAAGAAGAATGCCACGATGATTAACAATTACAAGGTAAAAGAAATCACCCTATAACATTTCATCAACAAAGTTCACACGTCAGAAAAATAATAAGGAAAATAAAAGAAGGAGGGAGAAGAAAGGAAATAATGAGAAAATGAGGGAGAAAAAAAAACGAACCAATTAATGATGGAATCTAGCATAGGCAAACACAAATGGAGGAAGAAATCGAGCAAATGAAAAGCAAACGAGTGTTGATGTCAGGCATATATATATTCAGATTTTGTAGAAGTCTTATGGTTAACCAGTTAAGTGTTAGGAAACTTAACTCAAGCTCTCGATTCTCAACACATTGAAAATGCTAGTTACAAATGTGCAAGTGCAAGGTATGCTAGGGTTGTGTTTTGAAACCCAACCTCATCCTTGAGTTCTTGACATCGACACTTAACACAATAACGTTAGGGTTATGATAGCGGTGCTAGATTACGAATGTGCAAAAATGACTCATGCTCCATTTTATACACAGGTTCCTAATTTTAATAGTATGTCGAACATGTTTGGCTACTAATAGGCAATAGGATTTGGAACCAAACTCTATCGCTGGAACCTGTTTCTACCAAACTTTGCTCACCTAACATACCGATGGCTCGATTAAATCTGTCAATTGTTAAAAAAAAATGTGGATAGTTTCGATTTTGGATGGGGTGAAAAAATTTGATCTACTCCAAGCATGACAACAAGTCTAACCAAATGGGTACGCCCATTTGAATTTGTCATGATTTTCATGGACAATCTAGTTTTTGATTAAGATTGAGGTTAGGATTAGATTTTTCCTAGCATGTACAATGGAGATAAGGATGTAACTTTTCGTTCCACCTTAAACTCATCATGTTAATAAACTATTACATCATTTAATAAATTTTAATTAGATGATTTTTTTGAAAACTCCTTATTTGATTAAAATTTATTTCGTGTAGATCATAAATTTAAAATTGTTTTATATCATTTTCCATATAGATTAAAATTGATGCAAAATATATTTTTTTAAATATACTAAATATTAATAATTTGATTATATTTATTATTATTTAATTTTGACAAAATTTGATATAAAAATTCATGGTAATGTAGAATTATAGTTCAATGATTAGATCAACAGAACTTACTTTTACATAAAATTATTGATGATGTAATTGTTAGTAAAGTTAGATCGAAGTTTTCTCGACCTACAAAAATCCAATAGGATTAGGATTGGATTTATTTATTTTTTATTTTAGTCCTCTATAAGTTCAAATCCAAACTCATCTCTGGCTTTTGCGGAGTCTAAAGTGTGAGATCCTATCTTCTTCCTTCCCATTTTACCCTTACCCTCTCCTACTCACACTCACTCTACCAAACTCTCCTCACTCTCAACACTCTCATTCACTTCTTTTCCACGTTTCTGATTCATTCTCGTTGCTTGATTTAAGGTGCTGGTTAAGAGTAGGAGTTGGATTTTCTAGCTGAACCGTGTGGAGCTCTTCTTCTTCTTCTCCCTTTCTTCCCCGTTGAGCATTGTCTTCTACTTCCCGGAGCCTGGATTTATTCACCAAGGTAAGGGAAGCTAGTTACTTTGCTATTTTTGGTTGGTGATGAGTCTTAGATACTCATTTGCTGCTTGTTGATGGATGATTTGTGGCTGAGATTGCTGAAAAATGATGATTTGGGCTTTCGGGTTTTGTGGGTTTTGAGAAAATTTTGGGCTTTTACTTGTTTTATGGTTGCATGTGAAAAAGGTTGGTGTTTTTGAACTCTTGGTTGAAAATGTGAACTGTTGGCCGGATTGCATGTTGGATTTTCTGGATATTTTGCAGGATTGGTGAAGTTTTTCGAACTTGAGGGGTGACTGATGAGCCTCGCGCTGAGCGCGGTTCTTCGCACCGGGCGCGAGATCACCTGGGGGCTCCTTTTTGACAAGCCCGCCGGGCGCAAAGATGTGTGCGCCGGGCGAGCTTGAGAAGGTGAGCCTCTGGTTGGTCCACGCTGGGCGGGTCAGGGATCGCGCCGAGCGCGCAGGCAACATTTTGGGTAATGGTTCTGCGCTGAGCGTGACTCTAGTCGTGCTGGGCGCGAGACTCCTTAGGAGTCTCTGCGAGGAGGGCGCTGGGCGCAATTCTAATTGCGCTGGGCGCGAGACCAAGGGGAGGTCTTTGCCTTCCCCGCGCTGGGCGCGGGTCGAGGCACGCTAGGCGCGTGAGACCCCATGGGATCTCTGCCTAGCCAGCGCTGGGCACAATTCTAAATTATGCCAGGCGCGTGAGAGGGTCACGCCGGGCGCGAGCGGTCTTGCGCTGTGCGCGCTGATCCCTGATGCTCTCTAGTTGAGCTGCGCTGGGCGCGACCATGGGTGCACCGGGCGCGTAAGAGGTTGATAACTTGATGTGTTTCAAGCTATTAACCTAAGCTGAAATTGATAACCTGTCATGCTGTAAATGCTTATATAAGATGTTAAGCTGTAATCGATGTAAATTGCTGTGCTGAGCTGGGCTGTTATTAATGATTCTAAATGCTGATGTATAATAATGCTGTGCTCTAGAATGATGAGCTGAGGTGTGAGTAGTAAGCTGTGTTGAATACTACTAGCTGTGTTGTATGCTGATGTGATGTGCTGTGCTGTGAGCTGTGGTGATGTGCTGTTCATTTGCTGAGTTGTATGCTGAGATTAGCCACTATTGTGGTGCTGTTATAGTCGTTATGTCGGTGCTGTTAGCCACTATTGTGGTGCTGTTATAGCCACTGAGCGGTGCTGATATTGTTGAATTGCTGTTGTGTAGTATAAGCTGTGCGGGTGTGCTGATAGCTATAGATGTTTCTGTTCATATATTTAAATATGTATGTTGATTTCTGTACACTAGCTTACCCTTTGTTGTCTCCATGATGTTTGGACTGCGATGATCATACTATGTATGGGAGCAGAGCAGGGATAGGTCGGTGGCTGGTAGTTGGGCTGTAGCTGGCAGTCGGAGCTGATCCTCTTGGGATGTATTGTTTTTTTTTGTTGTTTAGCTACTCGGTGTAGTAGTTGATGATGTATCTTATTTTGTACACTCTAACTCTAGTCAGGTGGGAACTTTGTATGTATATATATTCTAGATCTTATATTTATATACTTGTTCTATCTGTCTGGTGTTTCCGGTGTGCTGTGCTGAGTGTAGTGATCAGCTGGGTCGTTACACAAAGAGAGACAAACCCTCTATAGTCTACTATATTATCATGCCTAGTTATAAGGAAATGATGCAAACATATATTTCTATCTAATACTTTTATAAATAATTATTTGTATATCTATATTTGTTAAGTAAATAATTTTCTTATCCATTGAAATACTACAAGGAAAATGATGAATTATGACGGACAAATTACGACGGTTATCCTGAAACTGTCATCACTTTGATATTGCGACCCTTCATACTATGGTTTCTACCAACCATCGCAAAATTTTTCACAATTGCGACGGTTTCTCCCAAAACCATCGCAAAATTTTCCAACATTGCGACGGTTCCTCCTAACTGTCGTAATTTACAAGACAAAAATTGAAATAAAAATTCACACAAAGTCATGCACACTCCAAAATTATATAATTTTACTTTCAATAAAAAAATAAAAAATAAAATAATAATAACATGTAATTACATTTAGAAATGTTAAAAAGGAAAAAATATTTTAATATAGTATATTAATTTTATTATATAGGATTAAAAATACATTTAATAGTAGATTAGACCAAAAGTAATATTATTCTTTTGGAAGTATTATATTATCTTAATAAACTTATATTTTATTAACAATTTTATATATATTTTGTTTAATAT